GAATTTTTTAAGAAAGGAATATTTGAAAGCTTTATTAAAAATCACTAGAGCTTTTGCTAATTTAGAAACTTTTTACATAATGATGTTGTTTTGATCTTCTTCCTTTCTAATTTACTTGATAAATAAACCAGAACAAAAAATAAGTTAATAAAATATTAAATTTGGCTTGGGTTCAAATTCAAAATATTAAATAAGGTAAAGCAAACTCACAAAAAAATCAACAAATTATTTTTCACAACTCAACCAGAATTCATTAACAATGATAACGTATTAGGAACAAGTAAGAGTAAAAAAAAAATGTTGCCACATTTTCTCCAAAAGGTACCTAATATCTTTAAAATCGACCAATAAGATTATATATTCATGATTCAATTTTTTTAACGATTTATTTACTTCTACATGCAGTAAAAACACTCTACTCTAATTAGTTAATTATGAAAACTTTGAGAAACGAATTGTTTATTATCTGAACGTAATCCGTAACATAAATGGAAATAATTGACCAATCAACTTACGCTTTTGTTAGGTACAAGTAAAAAATGACTTCTGCATGCAAAGACCTTGATAAGTTGCTTCAATTTTTAGCATAAAATTATTGATTACTTTAAAGTATGTTTTGGTGAATCTGTTTATACATGACGTAAGCATACACGTATACAACAAGTGATACTTATGTTTGCAAACAACTCCATAAAGCGTGCAATGTTACGTGTGTTATTATATTGTTATCGACACCTTATCATTCTTAATGGTGTAATCTCTGTCGGACACGTATGATAAATATATTATTGTACATACTCGTGGAGTGGGTAATTTTATAAATAAGTTTAAGTGCGCTCAGAAATCTTTTCTGTTTCTAAAATTATCGCCCGTCAAGACGACCAGAACATTCCTACACAAAACGCGTCGTTTCAAGTTAATAAAAATCGTTAAATTGCGATCGTACAGATAATAATAAATAAAGTTTGTCCTTGTATAAAGTGAAGTTATTCAATTATATGTGCTTACCTATTACTATTTATTAATATTAGTAAGGGAAGAAATGCCAGAAACCATAAAAGTTATTATACTAGACGACGATCATGACAACTGGCATCACTATAGTGACTTTGAAGATTCATACGAAGGTGATGAGGTCGCTTTGAAAAAGAAGAAACGTTATTGTAGCAAAGAGGTCAATGGAAAATGTCTATTACCTCATATACGGTATACATAAGAAACATTTGATTGACGAAAGATTGAATGATTTCATTTTGATAACTAAAATAGACATGCGATAGCAAATGTAAATAGCATTAGACGTTAGAATATGTTAAATGTTTATAATTGTTTTTGAATTGGTGCATCTGTAACGCATTTATTTTGAACCACCCCATACGTGTGGATTGTTATTTTTTATATGAGTTTATTGATTCAAGATTTATACTAAAAATAATCATTCATTTAATAAATTTTATTTCGAAATTGACTTCTTATTGACAAGCGAATTTTCAACCAGAAAAGTAAAGTAAGTGTTATATAAAGCACCTCTCAGAAAAAATTGCCAAAAAGCATTACATTAGGAACGCAATTGAGTAAACATATGGTTTTTTAGTGTGTAAAAGTGTAAACACTTGAATTATTTTATATTACTTTAGCTATCAAACAATTCATGACAGTAAACTATTTATTTTAATGTATCTATCTAAGAATAATTTCCAGTTTTCGAAACACCTGTTTGAGTTTTTTTTTATTTTTTAAAAAATGTTTCACTAAATAGTACCTACGACGTCTGTCAGTCATTATTATTTTATTTTAATTTGTGTGAAAAAATTAATACAAATGCTACAAACAAAACGACAAAGTTTATGCCATTTATACTAATAATTATTTATTATAATAATATAGGTATCCAGATGGGTCAGTCAAACTTAGAAATCCAAATATTGAGCTCATGGACCAGGACATCCTTTACCATTTGGCTTTGGGAAGTGGGTCGCATGATCTCGTCGAGATGTTTGGTGACATAAAGGTAGTTAATTAAACAATTTCATATAACGATATAACACATAAATATATTCATAATAAAAATAGTTTCACGGTAGTTAATGACAACCTTGAAGGCAAAATCTATTAACAATAGTTTTATCAAATGTCATTTGCACAGGAAACAGCCTCAACGGGATTTAAAACTAACTTTTTATACGTATCTGAACACGGTATTAGACAGCATAGTTAAATTACTGCATTATTACAAATTGAATGTGCAATTTCCTTTTAAAAAATTAGTTGATTATCTACATAATAAGACACAGATGACAAATCAGTTACAAAATTAAAATTGTTCTAATATTATCAATAGCAAATGTCAACAATATCTTATTTAATAATACAATTAATTACTGTCTAGTCCTTAATCCTAAATTTAGCTTTTTGTGATGCACTTAAATTCTCGCCTTAAATGATCCATTCGTTTGACCAATGTATTGTCATCGTAATGGGTACAGGTAGTTATTGGTTTTTGTTCAAACTAGTGATGTAACAAATAATTTTACATGAAAAGGACAAAATAACATTAAATAAATCGTTTTTTGATGCGTTTTTAATTTATTTTGTAGATTTGTGTAGTATATAATGTTATATTGTTATATAATCCTTCTAGTTTTTTCCAAATAAAATTTTTATAATAATATTTATTGTATGATAACGTA